TTGATGGGCATGACCATGCACGCAATCACAGCCTGGAGTCGGCCATGTGGGCCTGGCTTGTAAGGAACCAGTTAAAGGGAAGTGAGGTGCGGTGTGCACAGTCTGTTATGGAGGGATACCATCCTGCTCTTCCACAAATCAATGGTTTCTAATGACAGAGAAGGAAAATAAAACTTGATCACCACAGACCAGTATAACAAGTCTCATGTTCTGAAAGCACAATGCTCTATTACCTGTCGGGGCCTTGGTGTCGGCCTTCTTGCTCTCCCGGGTCCCCTTCTCGGCCCACACGTACACCATGTACTCCACACCCGGCCTCAGGCCCGTCAGGACAGTGCTGCTCTGCTCCTTCCCCACAGGAACCTCCTTGGTCTCTCCATCATCAGCAGAGGTGTAGCGCACCACGTACCTGTCAATGGCGGCCTGCACCGGGTCCCAGGAGACAGTCGCTGTATTCTCTGTCACCCAGTCAGTTATCAAGTTTTGGGGGCTGTCAATGTCTGAAAGGACAGTGCTGATTAATAAACATTATTATAATAATAAGTACCAAACAGTGAGATCAATCCTATAGCCATCTTGCTTGCATTGAAGCAGTTTCCTATTCTGATGGTTTCCCATAACTTGCTGGTTTTCAGTTGTTTCTTGGCCATACACCTCGTGTCCACACATGGATCTCTAGAACTTCCAGGAGGCAGCACAGGAGAGAGGGATGAGTACAACACCCAGCGTGAGAACAGCTGGGTTCTAGTTCTAGCCCACAGCAGCAGAGCAGAGGGACGGGAATGTCCCTGTAATGGAGCCAGCAGATGAGGGGTCAAATCCCAGTTCGGCCATCAGCCAGCTGTGGCCTGGACAACTCAGCTGCATCTGGCTGGGCCTCGTCTTCTTCATTGGTAAAATCTGGGGTTCAGGTAACATGGACCCCTTCAAGCATGAATGTTCCGTGCATGTATTTAATTATGTAAATTACCAACTTGTTCTTGTGACCTTGGGCAAGTTGCCTTACTTTACTGCTGTATTTGTAAAATGGGATTTTGATTTTCTTTTTTTTTTTTTTTGCAGTTTTGGCCAGGGCTGGGCTTAAATACGCCACCCCAGGTATATGGGGCTGGTGCCCTACTCCATGAGCCACAGGCACCTCCCTAAAATGGGATTGTTAATGGTTATTGTACACATCGCTCTAGGTAGTTCTGTAAACTAAGACAAAAATACCATGTAGAAAAGGGGCTTTGAAACCCCTAGATGTTACAGTGTTTACAGCTCTGAAGCCACAGAATATTCACTCTATAATTCAAAATGTAATCAAGGGCAAACTAATCTCTGCCTCCAGTCCCTCTGCCAAAAAAAAAAAAAAATGAGAAGGTGAGGGGAGATAATATTAGTGCATGTTTTATAGAGTTACTGTATTATATGAGTTAAGAATATGTTCCCTGGACAGACATCACCAAGATAGCTGACTAGAAGCTCCTAGCCCTTGTCCCGCACCCCAAGAGCCAAAACAACAAGTAAACAGCTGCATGTTAATGAAAATATTGATAACTAAAGGAGAGTGCCAGCCGGGCGTGGTGGCTCATGCCTGTAATCCCAGCACCCTGGGATGCTGAGGCAGATGAACTACTTGAGCTCAGGAGTTTGACATAATTGCTTGAGCTCAGGAGTTTGAGCCTCAGCAACAGC